GAAACAAAGTAGAAAAACTTACTTTTTGGCATACAAATTACTTTTTTTCGTGTTAAATTGTCTGTGTTTGACAAAATGTGCTGATTTTTCACATGTGATAGCAGAACTGAGTTGGGCATGCACAGAATGAGTCACATCATTTGAAATTTAGCCCTGACTGGAGAAATTGGAAATGTTACAACTGACCCACGTTACAACTATCCCCGGTCTCCCCTATAATATCAATCTACACATTGTGGTCTGTAACTGTAAATTTAAAACATGAATGTGCCAAAAAGATTAAAAGTTAAAATGTAAAAATCCAGTTTCAGATTTCGCACAATTTGCAACATATTTATCTTACCCTCCCTAGCATCTTGAGAGTCTCTGACCTCCACTGCTGATATTTATTATCATAATAAATGAATTAATTGGCGATTAGCCAAGATTGGAATGTTTGGTTTATTTTTCTCAGGAAAGATAACGCTTTTTTTCTTTGTTATTTCAATACAGAGAGCAATATGTGTATTACAGTTCCATATGCTGGTATATGAAACTGCAGCTGTGCGTATCTGTGTTAAAAGTGTTTATGGAATATTGTGATGTTTCAAGCAACTAAATCAAAACTGCATCTTTAACACCAATAGTTGATATTATCTATAGTAATAATTTATTTCCAGTGTGCCACCTTGGCCAATTTGGAGCCATTAGGCCTGTAATGATGTACTTCCAAACACAGAAACATCAAACGCTGGAGAACAATGAGGGTCTGGCTGCTGTCTCTTCTCTTTAATTCTCCATAACAAAAGTACAAAGGCTGAGACGGAGAACAAAGGGTTTACCCCTAAACACCGTTAACACCTCTCCGGGCCGCGGCGCCTCCGCGAGCCGACGCACACGCCGGCGCCCGTCTGGAGCGCCTGGGATAAGGGAGGAGAGGAGCGCTGCCCCGGGGATCATAGATGTTCTGCGGTGGGTGAGGGGTGGGGCAGATGAGACGACTGAAACACCTCATCATCTAGCTCTATCTAAACAGACCTGTGTGTAAGTGTGGTTTCGGGCTGCAGGTAGCATTTGTTGCTAGGGTTGATCTGAAGGAGCAACTAAAGAGATTTTTATTTTACACGGTGAACAAAACAACAACCGATGCGTAAGTAACTTCCCTTTAAAATAGGTTTAAAAATTATATATCCATAATTTAACACTTGGTTTTACTTCGTTACACCCAAACTGTACTTTTAAGATGATAACAATTGCAAAACTTCCTCGTTAAATAGTTTTCTATATACCTGACCGAACTCGGCATGCAGGAGTCAAAGGATCGCGTGTTTAGGTCAGTTAGACTTCAGACAGTTCGACCTTCCTTAAGAGCTTTTAGGATAAATGTGGTTAGTAAATATTGTTTAATATGCTTGGCAGATGGAGTTCACGCCCTAATCAGAATGTGGGATTCACCGAAACCATATCAGCCCAAAACCAGGTTATCAGTAATTTTCATAAAAGCACGAGAAGTCCGTGTTAATTATTACAAGCAAATAAGTTAATAATTCTGTCTCTGAGCTTTTAAAAGGAGACTGGGTTTTCCAGGACCCCTAAAACAAAGAAAGTTAACGGTGAGGGTTCTGCAGCGATTTATTAGACCCATTTGGGAATTAACAGGTAAGTTATTACTATCCTTACTGCAGTGTCCGACTGTGCGTCTGTATCTAAATGTCTCATTTCAGTAGCACAGGGCAGACAGAATCCGCTGGCTGGTACTGCGGTAGTGCACAGTTCCACCGGTAAAGAGCAGCAAGACTCACAGAGCACCCTGCTGGACCAAAGCCGACGGCATCGGACGGCGTTCACGCGGGAGCAGCTGTCTCGTCTGGAGCAGGAATATGGCAAGGAAAACTATGTATCCAGACCCCGGCGCTGCGAACTGGCTACTGCGCTCAATTTACCGGAGACTACAATAAAGGTACCGTGTTTAACTGCAGTCAGTAAAAATAATGGGCCATGCCAAAGCCATATTTAACAAATAAGCTGTCTTTTTGTTCGGTGTATGCTACAGTTGTATAACAGAAATAAACTAAAAATGAGTGACATCACAGACCTAGCTATACGTTTATACCGGAAATAAATTTGCAAGTGCAATTAACCACTGGTGCTCAAAGATGTTTCAGGTCCACTGGGTGGCTCAAAAGTACTCTTTAGACTGGTTTGTATTGTGAAACAGGATATCCTTTTTTATCTGGCTTCAATTATCTTAACATTGACAATCTAGTTAAACAGTCACAAGAAGGTGGCTATTAACACTATATTTCATCAAAGGTATATTCTCGGGTTATAAGGGCAGCTGTGGGCCCTAAACAAGATCCTGGGGTGGTTTTGTATTGAATGAACTGTTTTGCAAACTGTTGAAAAAGAAACATTTAAACTGTTTACTTGAGGTAAAGTCATGATACTATTTCAGTAATTGTACTAAACCTTTTGCATCAAAATATACTTACAAATTCGGAAAGTAAAAGTGCCCATTATGTAGAATCTTATGTGATTAGTGTATTATTGGGTCGTTATTATTGATTACACTCATGTGGCTATTACTTGTTGCCACCTAGGATGGTATCACTGGACACACCTTGGAAAGGACATTGTTATGGTAGATTGAGTAGTGAGTAGTTTAGGGCCTCTACATTAAATGGAGATGTTCACTGCACCCAAGGCAGCACATATAATACACGATAAATACACTAACCTTTTGCCAACTAGTAGCAGTCTTTCTTAAAGAAAGATCAGGAATATAAGAAAAAGCCTTAAAATTTCACCTGACATTTTAGAAGCACAGCCTTCTGCAATATTCTATGGGCTGGTAAAATAGTTGAGAACTGGACAGTGTCTAAGCTCTAAGGTAACTTGTCATTCTGAGCTTTGAAATAGAGAAAAGTAGTAATGAGAAGAAAATTAAGTGATGTGTTATGAAATCTGATTCAAAGTGTTAGTGAGACCCCTGCATTTATATTTTCATGTTTATAGAAATTGTAGCAGCTCCTCTCTAGGTATAGAAATGTTGTGATCCACTGGCTTTACCTTTAGTGTCACAGGCAAGCTGTGAAATGTCTGAAAAAAATTCAGATGTTTTTGTTAAACCTTAATGTTTTCTTTTTAACAATGCAAATCTAACTTGATTTGCATTGTAAAAAAAAAAAATGAAAAGAAGGGATGCACCGTTGTTCCTCCCAGGGCCCTCTCTTAATTTTGCTAATCTTTACAAAAAGTTCTTTGAGAGAAGTGTTGTTGTGAAAAAGCACCATATAAATAAAATGTAATTGAACTGAATAATTCACTTAACCCTTCTAGGTATGGTTCCAAAACAGGAGAATGAAGGATAAACGCCAAAGACACTCCTTGCCTTGGCCTCACCCATTTATTGACCCGCTGGGGGGGCTTCTGATGGGCAGCACATCTCCTTCCTCCATCTTACCATACACCTTCATCCAAACCCACCTCCCACACCTCCCACTCCACCCCTATGCTCCCCTGGCTCTCTCTTCGACTACATCATCTCACAGCCCATACAGTGCACCAATGAGTTCAGCAGAAGCATTCCATCTCTCCCAATTCAACAAAAGGCCTGGGGAGCTGCCTCCAACAACAGTAGCACTCTACCCCTCTGTAAGCATAATGCACCACCCTACTTCATGCCCCTGTCCACTGTGCCTGCAGTGGGACCCAGAACAACTGTACAAAGTAAGAATGGATGCACTGGGACTTGGCCGGCCCCGCACTCTGAAGGCTAACACTCATTCTGCTAGTGTAGGGAAGACACAAGAGATGGTGTAAAACTAGATGAAAACATCATCAAACAAATGCTACTGCAAGAAAATTATACCATTTCCAGTGTCTTCTGTTAACACTAGAAGCTTGCCAAGCATTACCTGCAGCAGATGATTAAGCTCTCATATTTTTGTGTAAATCTTAATAGAAATAAAAATAAACTCTGCATCTTTACAATAGAAACCTAAAACACTGGTCTTGTTTAAAATAATGCAAATCACATTTGCAATTAACTGAAGGCATTGGGTTATTCTGTTTTGTTTTGATGTATTATATTTTTGTTGCTGTTGTTACATAATTATTTCAAGTAAGTTAAAAAAAAACTATTCAGTAGTAAGGCCACATTTATGCCTATCAAAGCACACCAAATGAAAGCCTTAACCTTTTCTTTGTATTTTTTTTAAAGAGCACACTATATTAATTGTACAGTCTGGTTACTGTTCATTAACTATTGTATATCCAACCTCAATATTAAAACAACCTCTATTTCAAACTTGTTTTGGTGCATTTCAGCAGTTTGGACCAGAGCACTGCATTGTGACATCTATCTTATAGATTTCTTCAGCTGTCAGTGGTTTTAACATCATATTGCTGAGTGTATACTGAGCATACACCAAAATTAAGCTACTTAGAGCTGCCACAACGGGTAACCACAGTGGGTAGCTCTATATGTTGGATTTGGGAGAATTGTAATCCGGATGGCCTTCATGACACAAACACAACAGGAATTTGTGTCTCCAAATGGAAATCAACCGCTATGCTATGGAGCACCCATAGTATCCAAATGAAAAAGTTAAAATACTTGTCAAAACAAAGTAACTTTATTAAAAGTTTTAATGGGACATAGCACTATTATAAGGTGTAGATTAGGAAAAGTCAAGCAACTGATTTATTGTTTGGTTTACCAAAATTCAGAGTTCAGAAAGATTTAAGCCAAGCGAAATATCATCATGTTGTTTTCCTGATTGACAGAATTGGTATAGTTTTGCAAATGTGAGACAAGGAAGATTGTTACACTGGCTTTCTCTTTTATATTATACAGTTTATGACACTTTTGAGTTATTGTGACAGAGCCTTCCCCACTTCTGTAGTTATTACACAGAATTTGAAATGTTAAATTAGTTTCAATTCCAACGAGTTTAAGTTCCTCGGCTAATTAGATTAAATCCACCTCCTACTCTAACCTCTACATCTCTTTCATTTTCTGCTCAAGGCATGCACTATTTCCCAGTTTAACTCCTGAATACTACTTTGGGATTATATTGACTGGCATCAAATCTTCCCTTTAATATATTCCAAATACCTTCTTAATGTTAAAGGCATGTTTGCCTTATGATTGGAAGGCCAGGAGTTCAAATTCACCAAACGGTAGCTGCCCACTGCTTTAATGAGTGAATGGGTTATATGTAGAGGATAAAGTATGTAGGTTTACAATTAAAATTTATCTCCACACTCTCCTGACCTCCAAGATTATTTAATCCTTCAATTAAACTTTTAAGGCTGATGTATTTTTGAAAGCTACTATTATCTTGGAGCAGAGACACAAAAGGTACATATTAGTTTGTGTCAGTTGGACTGATTTGATTTAGATTTAGTTTAGGTGAAGAAGTGACAGTATACTGGAGCTAAAAAACACACTGTAACATTCCAGAATCATAATTTGCCATATAATAATTAAAAAAATATATTGTTGTGGATATCTTAAATGTACCCAAATGTAATTAGTCAAGAAATAGTTTTAGTATTTAGGTCCTATTCAAATAACAACAAAGTTTTCTGGTTCTGTATAATTATACTTTAGAGGGGGTTAGGGTAAGCCTTTCACCCGCCGTCAGTCTTTACATTGACCAAAGCTAACACAAATGGTAATCCACCAGGGCTAAAAAATTAAGTCAGTGTTTCTTGAGTAACGACAGTGGCCACTTGAGGTCAGCTCCAAAAGCATGTTAAAGCACCCAACTTAATAGCAATAACGCTTCTCTGGTAACAACTGTGCAATGGTTATTTATTTATTTTAAAATTCAACTTCCACTTCTACAGTTTATTTATGGTTACATTTTTTTTTATCTTTATGCTCACTTTGATTTATAGGCTTTCCAGCATATGAAACTATAGTCAATAGCTGTTAGCTAGGCCTCACTTCCTCTTATTCAACTTTTTGAACTAGAACCTTATGAAAACATTTAATTTAATTATCTGACGTGTATGGTTTGCTATGTGGTACTGAAGCCGTATGTGCTTCAGTTTATTAAGCTGTATGGTTTGTGGTTTATGGACTAGTGATGGGTTGGTCGCGAACAAAATGGCTCTTAGAGCCGGATCTTTGAAGTTAACGATGCAAGCCGGATCCTTATTGGGAGTTGTGGGGGGTTTTTTTTCTTTCTTCTGCCATCTCTTTCACTTTTTTTCGCTTCACGCTGCAAGTAACGTATTTGCGCTGAACAGAGACCAAACACAGCCTTGCGTTTGCGCCCCTCCCCCCTCTGCTCAGCGCTGAGCTGAGGGGGCAGGGCGGTAATTACACTCGCACCAGTAGTAGCACACAACAAGAGAAAAGAAGCAAAGTCTGGAACCATTTCAATCTTATAGGGCTTTGGAGCGTGATGTCACGGGGGTGGGCGTGGAAAGGATTTTGGCCTGATCCGCCATGTTCGGGGTCTAAGCGCAAGCGACGAAGGAGCGAAGGCACACACAACAGCCAC